ATTTCACCGCCATCCTCGTCGGTGCCAGTTACTTCCTCAACAGTGATTTCCCTAGAAACATGCGGGTCAGTGAAGTTTTTCTCGTCCATTCATAGTTTAAAGTCAGCAAATTCTTCATTATCATCGCGTTCAGTTTTTTTATAACCTATTATCCCCAGAAGTAAATTTAATTTTGATTCTACTGTATTATTTACTATTTCTTTCTCTATCTTATCTAAATCAAGTTTACCATCGTCACCCTTTGGTAAAGGATCGTCGGGACCCAAATTTAAAAGTTCCCGAATAGCGTTTGCCGAATCTCGTCAATAATCAACTTTTTCGGCAATAACTTGTCTAATTAGACCTGGCTTGACTATCACTGTTGTAACTTTCTCTAACCTATCTAACCCTTTTATTATATTGAGTTTGTCACTTCCAAGAGCAAGAATTTTTTCCAAATTCGGAGAATATTCAACTGAAAGTTCTTTCAAATCTGGGTTGTGTCCGCAGAACAAAGTTTTTATTTCATTGGCTGGTTGCGGATCACCATTACTGTCAACTTCTATTTTTGTAATGTCTAAGTTAGTAATTTTATTGCCATTTAGGGCAGTTAATAATTTTTAATTCAGTAATTTCATTGTCGTTTGATTCAATTTTTTCCAAATTAGGATAATCCTTAATCTCTAATGAGCCAGTCAATTTTAATTCTGCTTTTCCCTCTGTTAAGTGTGTAATTTCTTTTAAGTCTTCTTTTTTAATTTTAGTTCCATTTGAATCTTTAATATTGTCTAGTCAGTCTTGTGCTATTTGGTTCATATTACTATTTATTGCTATTTTTTTTTTTTTTTTTTTGGATTATTTTGTTTATCTTGTGGCATATCTATTATATATTTTCTTACTTTTCGGCTCTGATTATTTCAGACGGCATCGTTAGCATATATATATATCAGCCTATTTATAACGTTAATATAGTTTTTTATCTCCATCAGGGTTCCATCAGGGAGAGACATTACTATATATTATATTTAAATAATCATTATCCGCAAGGCCCACTTGAACCTTGCGAAAATAATCAACCCTTAGGTGGCACTTCCATTTGGGCTTTTAAGTCCATTTGTTTTATTTGTTCTGTAATTGCTTTTACCGCGGAATCATTTAATAAAAGGTCATCGAGTCCAACTTCAATCATTTTTTCTTCCATCTTCTTAGTTAATTTTTTCCTCAGTTCTAAATTTTGACGAAGGTTGGTTACTTCTTCTTTAACTGTTCCCTTAACTTGGTCGGGAGATTTGTTTTCTAGTTTCTTTTTATCAATATTAAGAGTAGTAGCTACTTCAGTTAAGTCATTTAAGCGAATTTTTCGGAACGGGATAACAGTGTTATTCGGTTCACTACCAGCTCAAAGACTAATTTTTTCACTATTTTCTATACCAGTTATTTCCATTTCCGGTGAGTTATCACGGAGAAAATATGCTCAATATTATTAGTGTTAGTAACATTAAATTTATTTACCTGGTTAAAAGCAAAATTTAATTCTTTTAAACTTGGCAAATTACTAATATTTACTTCGGTTAATTGGTTATTTTTAACATTTACTTTGTTAACAAGAGGAAAGTTTTTAACAGTTAACTTTGTTAATGAACCTACTCGCTCCTGCTCCTTTTTTATTACTTCTTCTCACCCTAACCTTTCAGGTTCTAAATTAATCTCAGTTAAGTTAGCCTTTCAAACTGGATATTCATCGCCATCGATTATTAATTCACCTTCTAATTCACTATCTTTATCATTATCTAACTTTATTAGTGTGTTGTCTTGGTCTTTATTTTTGTCGTAGTATTTTTTTAGCCAGTCTTGGGCGTTTTGGGTATTTATCATAATTCCTCATATAGTTTTATATTATAATTAACATTTTATATAGTTTAGTTTAATAATTGTTAATATTTTTAATAAATATCAGTTAACTCCGACCATATTTTCTCACTAATTCTCTTTTTTGGGAATATTTTTCTCCTACTTTTTTAACTTTTTAAGAAACAAAAAACTTTCTTAAATTCTTGTTAATCCGATAAATAAGTCCTATATTCCCTACCTAGGGAACTTAACCCAAAAAAAACAAAAATTATAAGTAAAGTTCCGAACTATTTTTATTCAAAATCTTAAAAAACCATAATTTTATTTAAACCATAATTGGATATCCATACAATATAAAACCATAGAAAAATAAGGGATAAAAACGAAATTTAACCAGAAAAAAAGTTGAACGAACAACTAAAAAAGATTAGTTTCGATAAAAGAAAATAATAATATTATGCCTGCCCCCATCATATAATATAAATGTTTGTTTTACTTTTCCAAAGGGGGAGGAATATCGGTAACAATTTTTTCCAACAATAAATCGACATTTTGACCAGTTTTAGCGGAAATTAAGCAAATATCGCTTGCTTGGCAATCAAGTAATTCGACTAGTTGGTTTTTCACCATTGACAATTGAGCGGACGGCAAATCCATTTTATTAATAACGGGCAGAACTTTTAAGTTAAGATTTTTGGCAATTTCATAATAGGCTAGCGTTTGGGCTTGAATGCCCTTAGTCGCGTCCACTAAAAGAATTACCCCCTCACAAGCGGCCAAAGAGCGAGAAACTTCATACATGAAATCAACATGTCCCGGGGTATCGATAAGATTAAAAATATAAGGTTCGGAACTTTCCGGCGGATAATATAATTGAACTGAATTTAATTTAATAGTAATACCTTTTTCTTGCTCCAACAAAAGACTATCCAAAACTCTTTCCAAAGATTTATTACTACCTTTTAAATTGGTTAATTCTAATAGGCGGTCAGCCAGGGTCGATTTGCCGTGGTCAATATGAGCGATAATCGAAAAATTACGGATTTTGCTGGTCTTAACAAGCATATGATAATTTTTTATCGGCGATGGGAAAATCACCTTACTTAACTAGTTTTTTTTCCAAATATATGGTGGAAAATTAGCCTTTTCCCTCACTTCTCGAAACGTAATTGGTAGATAGTTAAAAAGAATTTTTCTGGGATAAATTATCGAGTTTAATAAGCAACAACAAGAGATAATCAGCCAACTTTTATTTATTTTCTTCCTTACTATACCCCCGCTTCTTCAAAAATTCATTAACCGCCTTTATCTCTTCAGAATTGCCTCCTTGGTGATAGTCTGGGTCCGCCTCATCTTTCACCGGCATTAAGAAGAATTTACTGAGTAAATATTTAATGGCGTAAGTTTCGGCACTGCCTTTGGCTTTGGCTAAGTCCACGTTACTGCCGCAAGCTCAAAAATTAAATACTAATTTCTGGTCAGGGGTTTCACAGTCCACAATCTCTAATTTTTTCAAATACTTAATAAAATGTTCTTTGCCATCTTTGTCGTGGAGAAAAGGTTGGCTAGTATCATCACTGAGTAGAATAACTAACTGATATTTTTCTAGTAGTGGTTTTAGTAATTGCAGGACTTGCAATTCATTAAAAAAGAAGTATTTTTGAAATTTATTTTCTTCGGTGCGGATAAGTTGTTTGATTTGGCTTTGAATTTGGTGGAGTTTGGTGTAAATATTTAACTTTTCCATATAATTATTATATAACATTGTTACCCCGTCAAACTCTTTCGGATAATTTGATTTCCGCTCTCTTCTCTAACCAATTACCCTTTAACAAGCAAGCAAAAAATTATTCAAATAAATAATGATTCTAATGGTTTTTCTTCCCTCACTTTGCTGCTTGTTCCTAACTAATTTTGGTTGTTTAAATTATTTTCCTTTCCGAAACAATAAAATAGTTAACACTATTAATCAAATTACAATTACTCCCGCTAACGCCGCGATAATTTTTCACAGAAAATTATTTTTCTTTGTACCAAGATTTTTAACAAACGGAGAATAAGGAGGAAGGTTCAATAATTTTAAATTAACTCTTTTATCTAATTTCCGAGTAATTTTCTTATCAAAGGTTCTTACCAGTAATTCGGCAGTTAAACCGACAAATTTAGCTTCTACTAAGTGAGCACCGCTGCCTGTCAATTTTTCATCCGATAAATCAACATGACAATGAATCATAGGGTCTATAGGTTCATCATAATCTCAGGCTCCATTTCCCACTGCATTTGATAACTCCATTGGACCAGAGAAATGTTTGGGAATAGAACCGGTTTTATGACCCACTGAAAAAGAGCAACTAATATCTTTAAGTCCTCCACCCAGGGCTCAAACTCAGGCAAAGCCAAATTTACCATCTCGCATAAATTTTCCCAAACTAGCCATAAATGGTTCGCCCGGTTCTATTCTAATTAAGTATCAATTTTCTTCTAATTTTTCGATTAACATTTTTTTTGTGTATTTTTAATAATTTTTAATAATTAATCTGTGTGTACATAATTTTAGTAATTTTTTTGTTGTCTTTGTCAATTAATTTTATTTTTAGCCATATAAGCCTCGACAATATCTTTCTCATTTTTCATTCCCAATTTTTGGCATAATTTTTCAAATGTTAATAATCAGCGATAAAAACTTCCTTTATCTGGTATATATCAGGTTATCATGCTTCCGGCTGCCGTAAAAAGATCCAACAAGAGTTCATTATAGTTGATTATTGACTGGGGAGATAAGTCATAAGGGATAATATTATCATTTCTTTCTAAAAACTTCTCCTGAAATTTATTATAATCAGAAAAATCGATGTGAAAGGTGTTAGTAAAACTTAGATAAAAATGTAAACAGTCAATTAATTCTTCTTTGGCTTTCTCTCAATTGGGCTCTTTTTGGCTTTTTCAGCACTTAAAGGTTTTTAGTTCGTTGGCTAATTCGCCAATTTCCACCAAAAGAGCAACCTTTCCTCACACAAAGTATCCTTGGTCTTTAGTGTCGGTAATTTTTTTGTTTTTAACAATAAACTCATCCAGTTTCCTTTGTTCTAATTGTAATTTTTTTATTGTCTCATTAGTTAACATATTCTTTATGGTTATTAACTATCTCAATAACATTTTTTTCTATTTCTCGATATAATTCCGGATTTTCCAACAAATAATCAGTAACATTTTCTTTTCCTTGCCCTAATTTTTTTTCTTGATAAGAATATCAGGTTCCGCTTTTTTGAATAATATTTAATTCCGTAGCCAAGTCAACAATTTCTCGCTCTTTTTGGATGCCGCCTTTAAACATCATTTCCAGCGGTTTTTCTTTACTTTCTTTAGAAGAAGGACGAGAAGGAATTGACCGATTTTTTTCAATTCGAGCCCAAACTTTAATTCCAACATATTCCTCTTCTTTTTCAACTTTTTCCTTCTTATTTTTCAATTCTATTCGTAAACTGGCGTAATAAGTTAAGGCTACTCCCCCGGTGGTAGTTTTCGGATTACCCACAAAAAAGCCGGTGGATACTTTATTCCGAATCTGATTTATAAAAATTATAACGGTCTCTTTATTAGTCATTTCATTGTTAATTTGACTCAAACCATTATTTAACATTTTAGCGTGAGCACCAATCGGTGGTCTTTCCCAATTTCCTAATAATTCAATCGGTATTAAGGGAGCTACCGAATCGACCACAATTAGACCTACTCCCCCGCGAATAAAGTCAATTAACAATTTAAAGGCTTGTTCGCCATATTTAGGATGAAGAACCAATAATTCATTGATATCTACCCCAATATTTCGGGCATGCTTGGCATTTAAAGCATTTTCGACATCAAATCAAACGGCTCTCTGCCCTAATTTTTGACATTCCCGAACCGCATGGAGAGCCAAAGTGGTTTTCCCGCTGGCGTTTTCTCCATAAATTTCAACAATTTTGCCAAAAGGGTAGCCACCCCCAATTGCTTGGTCTAAAATAATACTTCCGGTCGATAAAGTTGGTTGGTCTTTGAATTTACTTTTTCCCAAAGTGGTAATAATACCTTCACCGTAATCCTTAGTGATACCTTCAATAATGCTTTTTATTTCTTGGGAAAGAGAAGTATTTTTTTCACTTTTTATTTCTTTTTTTGGTGACATATAATAAATTAATTTTTACCTTCTTTTTAGCCCAATAATTTTAATTCAATCCGAAACAGCCAGGCAGCGAAGTAAAAGCCAAAGTCAAATGTCAGAAGTTAGTCAGAAAACTAGATGAGGAAAGTGGGGTTTGTGGGAGTTGTTTAAAAAAGTATGAGTAGTTTAGGGGTTTTAAGGGTGGTGAAATTCC